CTCTTTTTACTTCTACGTTTACATTTACTCTTCGGTACTCAGAACTAGTACATAAAAGTACTTTCAGACTCTTTTATGCTCTTGATACATTTGCTGATATTTCATATTAATATTTGACAAATTTTACCGTCATAATGTCAAATTGACGTAACGTGTAAATTTTTCTCTTTTTACCTCTAGAAATGTTAAATAGTGAGCAAAAGGTTGTGAAGATGAATACCTTGCAATAAAAAATATACCACTTTTTGGATCGTTTATTTTCGTAGAAACCAGCCTAGTTACTAGATCGTTTCATCCAGATGTAAGGCTCTATCTATCATCTCCAATAAAAAAAATCGATTTCAAGCAGATGTTACAATGATTGAAGATTTTATCGGGTATTTTAAGATATTCTTTTGATGTAATAAAGGAAATCTATTAAATGTAACATCATGGTATCAGTTTAATTTTTAATATTGTTTGGCATTTCATCTTCTATTAATATTGAACCTTGAAAATCTATTTTCTATTAAAAACAAATCCTTTTTTATTTCGATCAGTATTCAATAAATTCTAAAGAATTCAATAAATATTTCTCTTTTTGAAGCTTAAAGTTTTTTAATAGCATCATTCTATGCTTAATTTTTTAAAAGTAATTAAGATAATCAGTTGTTTTTTTTTTAATTTCAATAAAATTTTCAAGTATTTGCAATAAAACTATTGAAAGATTGAAACGTAAGAGTGTCTTATTCGAAAGCAGTGAATTGATAAAAAATGTTGAAATATTTTCGGAGTAAAAACTGTTTGATCAAAAGGGATTATTTGCAGTATGATCTGATGACAATAGCGATTAATTCTCAAGAATTCCAAAGAATTATAATAAAAGAATTATTCAAATGATATTTCGGCACAGACATTTCTTAAGGATGACTCCTCTCAACTGCAATCCGTTTGGAATCTTTCAACTGGTAATTTGGGAAATGGTGGTGACTTAAACGAGAGACTGGGGCGTTCGTCATCATGGTCACGATATATTTTGCTTCACGCTTACTTGCTTTTTTGCCTTTTGTACTGCTTTCAATTGCAAGAAGAGAAAGAGGAGAAAAAAATGAACATGAGAAGAAAGAGGAGAAAGATACCGTGTAAAGGCCAAGGAAATATATATGTTCGTAAGACCTATGCTCGGTCTTAAACCTTTCAGAAAATAAAAGAGTCAAATGGGGAGCCAATGTAATATGGGAAGTAATAATAATGATTAAAATACTTCCTAATGATGGAATATTTTTTCAACATTCATTCCTCGTACTTGGTGTTGATAATTACATAAATATGCATTCAATAGTTCAATAATCCTTTAATAAAACAGCAATTAATTTTTTTGTTCTTAGTGAAAAGGGAATGAAGGATCTATAATTTATCAAAGCTGTGATTTTTCATAGGTTGTAAGGGCATGATTGCCCTTTATGAATCTTTAGTAGAGGGTAAAAATAAAATGGCCAAAAAAATTAGATCAAAATGCTGCCTCGAGTCACGATTTTCATTCTCACTTAACAAGAAAGAAACAAAAAATTAGATTTACGAAACAAAGGAAGCACCTACTTCACGCTTTTTTTTGTGATTGCTTCATGTTTATTGTCCATTGGAACTTTGTTGTAGATCGAATGGCTTCTAAGGTTGTGTTAAATAAGAAGAAAAAAACAGAAATGTACTTCTGCAATACGATCACTAAAAAAATCTAATTAAAGAGAATGAAGAAAGGATTCCTTTTTTTAATCAAAGTAAAAGAGAAAGATTGTAAAAAGAAGGAATATTGTTTAATAAACTCAAAGAATGACGTTTTAAAAGGAATACCTTTATGAGAAATGATTTTTTAACGGTTATTTTAAAGTCATTTGTGGACAAGTTATGGCAGTTCGGAGCAAAAAGTATTTTTTTTTTGCTTCAATAGGTCATAATTCAGCTGAAAAAAAATTATAAATGAATTTGAAAAAAAATACAGCAAGAAGGGAAGTAAATAGTTAGAAAAAAGAATAAGCTTTTGACTTGATTCACTTGATTGTATATCAATGAAGTTTTCTATAGAGAAAAATCTACCGGATGAACTTTATTTACCGATCTCAATTACTTTAGGTAGAGTTCAATACACTTTTTTACAATGAAGAAGCAAAAATGATTACAAATAAGTACGTAGTTATTGATCATCAATGCCAAGTTTATCTCTAAATAAATTTGTGTAATCACATTGATATTGATTGTCAGTGAATAGTCACTAATTTTTGTTGATTTATTTCAAAAAAATGAATCAAAAATGTTTTAAATAAAAGCAAAATCATAATAAATATTACTAGATATTGTATAATTGTTGCTATTTTTTCTATAAAGCCAATAAAAAACTATCAAAAGTTTTTTTTCTATGTAAAAATGCCACAATTTAAAAGGATAACTGATGTCTCTCTTTTTTTAAAAAAATTTTTCAATATGTATTATTCAATAGATTTAAATTCCATTGATATGCAAGTGGTGAGTAGCTATTAAAAAAATACAAGAATACTTTATATCATATACTTTGATAGAGCTCAAAGTCTTTGACAACATTAATTATATTTTTATGTAGTTTTAGATCATCAAAGTTGTCATTGAACAAAATAAAAAGAAAAATATTCTTTATATTTAATTTAAAATGCAATAAAGGAATAAAATTTATTGAATAATAGACCTAGAAAGGGTTAACGATGAGCTCAAAAATATGATCTTGTTAGAAATTCGATTATTTTCAAACCTTGAAAAAAAATTTATTATTAAAACAATAATAATTAATAATAATAGTTATTCTTAAAATATTTAACTATAAAATGCATATTATTTAAAATAACGAGCATTTATAAAGTAGGAATAGAAAAATAGGAGAATATGTAATTTCAATTATACCCTGAGGCGACAGAATGAACGCACATCTGGTTGGAAGCACCCTACGATATTGAAAGAGAAAGTAGAGAATGAAGCAGTGTCTGAAAAGTGGGGCGCTACCCTGACCCCCCTACATCTATGTGTGAGAGGGATGATGTTTATGTCCCTTTGCTTTTTCACAGGTTACCCAACTTTAGGTATACTATCAAAAATTGTACACGCTCGTGGCTTCTGTAAATGCGATCTACACTGCCGGATATCCATGGGAGCCCTATGAGATAGAAGTAATAAAAAAGGGTATGAGCATTTAAATGTACAAGACACGAGGCCTGGTCTTCATATCTCATACAGATATATTTTTTGTCTTCCCATACTTTGCCTCAAAATGAACCAGGGGTTGCTAAAAGCTATACAAGGGACTAATGGCGACACCAGTTAGCTTCCTCTTACTTTTGTGACTGTGACTTCAGACAACCTTGTTAATTCTACAGAGATCCCCAATGGAGTGTGAGTTATTTTGGATTTTTTCGTACAATCTTCAATAAATTAAGGGATCATTTTTTTATGACAAAAAGTGAACATTCTAAAGATTATAACTTTAGTGATTACAGTAAAATATTATTTTATTATGCTTCAAAAAGAATTTCGAAGCTTATATGATTTTATCCTTGAATTTATTTATTTATTTTTTGATGAAAGAGATTTGGATTGAATTTATTGTAGATTGATGAGATTTATCTATATTTAATAAGTACTTTAATGAAGCATACCGTTGAGTGAGTACTTGTTAATAATTAATGGATTATTTGAAAAATGAATTCTAGTTGAATAAATATTTATTAATAATTAATAGATTCACTGGTTGCTAGGAAATGTTTATTTTTTATAGAATCGAGAGTGATATGAATATAAAATGAATATATAGTATATCGCTTAGTATTGAATAGGTCCTTCTATTGATGTGGATTGAGATATTGGGCATGCGCAAACTTGTGTATGCTAGTCATGACGAATATCTACTGACCAACGGCTGACTAGTGGCCAGATCTACTTCTGTGAGAAACATCTCAATTTTTTCTCTCATTTCTCTTTTTCCTTCTAAGATGAATTTTGCTTTCGATATTATATCTTTTTAGCTACCATCACACATTGATAATTCTATTCTCTCAAAATTGAGTTATTAAAAAAAAAAGTGACGGATGATTGGAAATGAAATCTGATAGTATGAATGATTGAGTCATTTTGCAGAATATTGATGATCAGTAAAAATTTATTATGCTCTGGAATAGATTCAATTCAAGGGATTTTATCCTTGAATTACTTTGAATGCTATTTTTGAACAATAATTCATGGTGAACATTTTTCAGAAACATATCTATCATGACAGTGAAGTTTGGCATAGGCATTCAGCTTGAAAATTATTTTTTGATTTTATCTTTACTGGCTTTTTGCAAAAGCTATTGACGGATATAACATTGTTCAATGAGTTTTTACACCACATTGTCCTGTCAACTCGGGAAAACGATACGAATGCTATGGAAAAAAAAGTTTTAGGATTAACTGTCACCTACACAACATTCTGGAATTTCCTTAATATAAAAACCAGTGGAAGATAGATAATCAAAACATTCTTTCTATAAAACATTATTAACAATATTTTTTCATGATACTTTTAAGCATATTCCAACTTATCAAGTGACATTTTTTTACAAAATTTTTTTGCAAGCTCCAAAATATAACATAACAATGAAAAACATTCATTTCCTAATATTCAAAGCTTTTTCATTCTTCCTGCTCCAAAAAGTATTCCTTCAAATAATGATAATTGAGAAATTTTTCAATCTTTTAGGCTTTAAGCTTTTTTGAAATCTTTTTTCTTGTGGATAAGAAAAAGCTTGTCATGAAAAAATAATACAATACGCTAATAAGGCATATGCAAAGCCAGTTTGAACCATTAAATCTTCAAAACTCAGCACTAACTGACAATGAACAGATAAATATTCCTGAACAAGTTTCTTTTCAAGGGAAGTAATTGCATATTTTTTAATAACAAAGTAACTTTCACTTGAATGTTCAAATGAAATGAACAGTGGATGAAATTTCATAGAACTTACCAAGTTGTGTTTGATGTGTAGGGGCAGGGACAGGCCTAACCTTGTCCGGAGGGCATCTCCTTGTCGCCGCGACTGTAGCTGGCAAGGGGATACTCGTGCCAGTCGACCCAACTCCTGCGGCTGTTTGTTTATTGTATGGTGATGGAAGTCTGAAACAAAGAAGAATTCAAACCATTAAATAAATTTGATAATTTATCTGAAAATGAAAGCAAAAATATTAAAAAAATTTATATTCATTTTGATGATAGTAATAAATTAAAAGTCACTAAACGTAAAAATTTGAATTTTGTTTCATCATCTTATCATCATCCTCATCATCATGAGAAAAAAGGTTTAAGTATAAATAAGAAAACGGATAAGGTATTGTCTTTTGTGTTCTTCAGACGAGAATGACAAGCCGGACTCGTACGTGCAGATGGTATGCTTTAAGAAATGTAAATATTCTACTCTGTATGTCTTCCATCCTAATAGCCATTATATAGCACCAGACATAATTTTTATCTTTCTTTTTCAACCTTCGAATAAAGAATGGTCATTACTCGCGTGGGTGAAAATAATACTGAAGAATGCATATAGAAATATATTTCTAACGTGTTATAGTAATGTTGATATTACAAGCACCATCACGTTACGTTGATGAGAGTAATCATTTTTATTTAGAGAGCTTTTTTTCAATTTAATATTTTTCCACTTGTTTTGAAACAAGGGAGACTATTTGCAGCGAAAGGAAATAAATTCCCTAGACTATAAAAAATATTTTCACTCATGTTCAAGTTGATCTCATGATGTCTAGAGTTTTGAAGTGCTTATCATCAATGTTGCTATTATTTTTCTTCTATTATCCTGAGGATCTCTATATCTAGTCCTGGAATGGTTATTACAGTTCTATAAGTATTTATTTAACTGAATTTATTTCATATAGAAACAATTTCCGACTGAGAAATTATTGAAAAAAAAGTTTGATATTTTTTGACAAGTTTGTAAGCACGAGGCTGCTATGATAGCTAGGCGTGTTATTATCACTAAATGAGGGAAGCTTATGCTGTTCAAGTTCAGCTGAAGTATTGAGAAATAATTAATTTAATGATCCAAGTAATATTTGACTTTTAATTGTTATTATTATGAGATTAAAAATGTTCTTTGTTCTTGAAGATTGCTATTTAGAGCAATTTAATTTTTGATACATCATTATTTTTTAGCTGTTGTGTTTTTCAGTGATTAATAGCACTGATGCATCTCTCCAAGAATTAGGGCATGTTTAGCTACTGGTATATTTACCTTGTTTAGATATGTATGTATAAACAATTCTGTAAAAGCTCTTGTTTTCTTGTTCGTTTATTCAAACTTTCTTAAAAGCCCTCGGTTATCTAGGAAGTTGAAATTCTACACACTCATAGGATAAATATGAGACTAACAAAGCCAGCTTTGCAAATCTTTTTCTGAAGAAGGAACAAATAGAAGAAGTGGTTTAGACAACTCTTTCACATATTTAAGAATTTTATGAAATGCAGTATGACTTCTTATTTGCTATAAGCTTAATCAAATGTAATTATTCATACTTTACTTTAACAAATACTTTTTTAAATAAAATATGGTTTCGTAGCAACAAATATTAAAGAAATAAAAAAGATAGAAGATTTAAATTTAATCATATCTCTTTTTTTAAATGTGATCAGTTGTTTATGTATCTTAATTGTTTTCAAAGTTTTTCTGGAATAAATTTAAATTCAAAATTATTAGATAGAAGACCTTAATAGAACTGTTTTTTTCTGATATCATTTTTTATCATTTTTTTTTGTACGCTAATAGTTATCAAGAAAAAACGGTGATTAATGAGTTCTAGATAGAGTATTACCTCTTCTATAATATGCAAATACTTATTTATCTCTATTAGAATTCATTAAAAAATCATTCACCAAAAGAATGAAATTATTTAAATCATTCAAAAACGATTAATTATATTTTAAAAATTCAAATCACTTAAATTTCAGACTAATTTTAATCTAAAAAAAATATCTTTGCTAAAGATAATGAGTTGTTTCTAGCAAATAAAATCACTAAAATGCTAAAGCAAAGTACATAAATTTTTCATTCACATTCATGGTTCATTCCAACCCCAAATGACAAATTTATAAGATGAATTGATCATGTGAAAATTCCCCTTAGGGGTGTGTCCATTAGTATTGGCTACATCTATCGTTTCACTTAAATTTATGATCTCGCTACTTGCGATTATTTAGTTTGTTCGAAAAGACTAGATTTACGCACCCTCGCTTGTTCCTTATTCCGTAAAACTACATGTTTTCTTTATTTAGAGTATTCGAGTTCAAAGACATCCCGCATGAAACGAGTGTGACTCAATGTTTTCGACGTGAATGGTCGCTGAAATAGATTTCGCGTCACGGCCACACACTTGGACCTTTAGTTTATTTTTTATTTCACACTAATTATTTAACTGTAAAATATTATTGGATTATTTACATCTAAGTCAAGTTCAAAGTATGCTGATACAAATAGTGGTTAATAAAAATGTTGTAATTTGCAACATGATTTGTAGTTACGTATGTGTGTGAATGTCAGAAGGATCTACAATAATATAACTTTCTAGGAAGGGTCTGGATCCTTTCTGCTCATTCGCCACGATACTCATCTAAATTTATCCGAGAGCTGAAACCCGAGTCATAGCGCAGTCGCAAATACAAATGTATACAACTGGTGTCAAGTCGCGTTTCAACGTCACGTGAAAATGCTTCGTTGACCGGCAATTATTCCTAATTGCTCAAATGAATAAATAGACTTGTTCAGACCAAATATTTACGACTGACTGATTACATAGTTTACATTGTCGAGATTTTATCAAAAAAAAAAAAAATGATTTATTTATTTAGAAGATTAATATTTACTAGGAAATGGTAAATTATTTTAATTGAAGAATAAATACAAGCCAAATAGAATTGATGAATTTTTGGAGCCATTATATCGGAAGTCATGGGTTGAAATTCAAAAGAGTAAATACAAAGAGAAACTTGATGCCAATGTTCATGATTCCATGACTATAATATGGCATGTGCTTTGTTGTAATTAAAACAGTGCTTGTAATCCTCTTTAATCTTAACTAAAAAGGATGAGCTTTGTTTTATTGACATAAAATGCATTAAGAATTTTTGTCTTGTATCAATTTATTTTCATTAATTCTAGATTATTCATTTTTTATTTACTTTTTTATATTTATTTATTGTTAAATAAAGAATTTAATAAATACTGATGAACTTTTTCATGGACTTAACAGTAAGTAATTATTTTTTCTTAAGATAAAAAATTAATTTTTTTTAATTCTTTATCTCCCATTTGTAATTAAATAATTCTATTTTTTTTTGGTTTAGTACTATAATAGTGTCACTGGCTTTCCTGTTGAATTTATATTTGATAATACAATAGATTAAAAAAATTTAATAAAAATCAACAAAGCTTTTATCATTTAAATGAGTTCATTATTTTAAATCCATTAAAGTTTATTTGTAATAATTAAGAAACAATGCAATTTACAACTTGCTCTTTTCCTCGCAATATTTCTTCTTTCTTTAATAACCATTTTATTTTTAAATAAAAAATGTCTTTGTTCTTTTCAATTCTTTGTTCTTACGTTCAGTTAATTAATATTCACTAATCAGACACAAAAAAAAACCATCAACAACTCTCAGCAAATAAAATTCCACAAATAATGGCAGACTGAGGATATGAATTCTTGAATAGTCGTGCTATTGTTGGTAGAAAAATATTTTTCACTGATCATCTATTAGTCTTTTTACATCCCAGTATCAACATTTATCCCGACAAACGAGTAATATTAAAGATAATTTAATTACATGAAATATTAAAAGCGTGTTTCAAGCTGATAATAACTTTTCTGATGGAAACATATTTAATGAAACTTTCACAAGTAATCATTACCCGTAAACTGACGAGATCAATACGCCAGTGAAATTCGAAGCACGTCAAACCCTCTCCCTACTTCATTCTCATCTCATTTATTGCAAAACCACACGGGGTTTGATGAACATGCAGGTAATTAGTAAAATTCTCATGAATACCGTCTCGAGTTTCAAATATGTCTGACAATTGACCATTATTCATTGGATCCATTAATAAACTTCAGGAATTTTATCTTCTTCACTTGAATTACTTAATAAATCTTTAATTTATTTTTTATTGCTACAGGTGGAATTTACTCTATAAAAATAAATCAGTAAAAAGCAGTGATGGTTCTATAATTGCAAATCAGTGAAGCAAATATACACTGCATCATGTTTAAAAAAAAATAATAATAATATTTTATCTTAATTTAATATTTTTTAAGATGTACTTCAACGTAATGACGTAAATTTAGGAAAAAATGTCTTATATCATGAAGATTTTTGCTAAAATTCTTCATTTTCAGCCCGTCAATTAATGAGATTTCCTGTTACCTTTCAATGAGCTTTTAATCTAATTACCTATTCTACTACTATTCATCGGAAAAGGATGTATCGTATCAGAAGCTATTAGTATTTGAGTCTGTTACAATAGACGTTATTAAACTTCGAATAACAATAATAATAAGAATATGGAAGAGAAGTACAATGCATTTTGTTTATTAGATTAAAGAGACTTTTAAAAATATAATGGATGGAAAAATGAGATTGTTTGACAAGATGAATGTAAAGTACATATTTTTATGTACATAGGAAATTTATAGTGCAGATAAAACGTGTTTCAAATGAATGTTAAAACAGTGGAAAGACATTTATCGAGTTAATTAGTTAGTAATTAATTATATTTTGTATTTATTGAATGACAGAAAAATTGTTTGGTTTCATATTGATTATTGACGATTCTATTAACTTGTATACAATAGTTTCAATTGAATTTCTATTTTATTGGTAAACTTTTTCAATTACGAGCTTTGATTTTATTATTCTAGACTTACAGACAGACTATCGAACTAGTTTGAAGTTTAAATAAATTTTTTTTTTAAACAGAATAATAAAAATTATAAATAAAAATTAACTCTAAATTACAATAAATTTAATTAAGTATATTAATGAATAATTTTTAATACTTATTTATTTTAAATATAAAGTATTAATTATTTACAAGAATAAAATAAAAACATAATTGAATGTTTGCTGTTCAAAGTTTATGTATCTCTGCACCAAAGAAAATAAACTATTCATAATTGCAAATATTTAATGTGTAAAGAAATTAATTAGACGAAAAATTATTTTAAAAAATTAAACTTTTTGGAACAGAAATTTTTATTATATAGGTACTGAAATAGATGATTGCTCAATAGTGAGAAACTAATAAGCATATTTCTACAACACTTTCGATTTATTAGAAAAGATAAATACTAAAATAATAATAAATATGCCCACTAGGTACTTAATTCTATACATTATTGATAAAAAATTACCATCCACATAAAATCTATCAAAACATGAAAATAATAATCTTATTTTATTTATTTAATGAGTTTGAATCATTGAGATAAGTATCAAGAATAAATAATGATTTCTATATCAGTAATAAAATTATAAATATTTCGTTAATGTTTTTCTCTAAAGATAGCAAATGTCTATCAATTTGATTCCTTAAAAAGAAAATAAGTAGCTTATATGTCAGCCTTAAACATATGTGTAATTGATGTAAAAAAATAAAATAACTGTAGTTTAGATAGTATTTTTTTTTAGCTTAAGAATCAGTTATTTCTCCAAATGTTACATTTCAAGGAGGAAATTCAACAGACTTTCTCGAGTAAATATAGTATATACCACGTGTAGATGAACAAATGCTGACCACAGTACATGCATGCACGCACGCGATGTGGTGTGATGGACGTGAATTTTATTCAAAAAAGCCGGTCATTGTCCATGAACATCCGACGTCGACCGGTCCTCCCACTTGTGTGTCGGTCCAGACTACCTTACATTTCCGCCAGAGCAATCTTTTATTACTTTTCGGACCAGAGCTTATTAAGCATTGTCATTAATTCACTCAGAAAATTTTTATAGTACTGATTAAAATAAAATTATTTTTGAATTGGTCAATACTTTCACTTTCATTCATTAAATATCGGTTTTTATAGGAAAATTACGATCGATCGGTTAGATTTTACCAGTGACATTTATTTGTTAAATATTCTAATGTTAATATTAGGTTTTTCAAGTTTCTCTCAATATTTCAAAAAATATTATGAAAGAGTTGATTTGAATTTATTTATTTTTTCAATTAATTCATGTTTAAGTAGAAAGCAAATATTTTTTGGAATAAAAATTGCATCTAAGTTGCAATCGACTACATATAATATTGTGTAGTTATTGAAATATTTTTCGATAAATTTTAGAATTATTTTAGATTTATAGATTGATTAACGAACATATTAATTGACGTTAAAGTTTCGAATCAGTTTTACTGATAAAGTAAATATTTATTAAAAATTGCAATCATAATATAAATACTTTTTATTTGAACAAATTATCAGTATTATCTGAATGTATCTATCTGATATTTAAATTTTAATCTTTTAAAACCAATGCTCAATAAATTTTCGCTTACTATCATGCTAAAGCTCTCAAATAAATAAATTCTCAATAGTAAAATAAAATTTTGTTCGACAAAAGAGTATATATAAGCTTTTAAGCTGAATATTTATATTAAAAAAAAAAACTGAATTTTTAAACATACAGAAATATTTAAAGAAAAAAAAATGCTTGCTTTAATTTATTGCAAAATAATAAAATAATATTTTTGATAAGTTGTGTAATTTTTTACACGAAAAAAAAAACGGTAAAGTTATTTTTAAATAATGAAATTTATGTTAAAATGTACAGAAGGTCTAGGGTGATTGAAGAAAGGGATAAATACATATTGAAGTTGATTTATAAACTCTTTTATAAAAGCTATCATGAAACTAACGTATTCTTCATCGAATATAATAAATTATAAAACAACGAAAAAATTTCCCATTTATCTGTGGTGTGAAATTTTTTTCATGTATCTATTTTGTTATCTCAAAAGTACGGAGAAATAAACTTGACATTTAATTAATCTCTAAAATATCTAATCACATTAAGAAAGAAAGTGAATATAAGTGCATGTAAGTGCAAGCGCAACACTAATGTGCATGTCTACAAGTAGGATGCATAGAACGTAAGTTGGCGCGAAAAAAAGTGTTCAACCTGAGGAAAAGACGCTGCAACCGGTCTTAATATCTTTTAAAAGCCGGCGGGTGTACACACGAGAAGCCGTGAATCTGGTTTATCACTTTTTTTTTTATATATATATATACACGAGACCAACCTTCATTCTTTAATCATTCCTTCACCCACACCCTGTTGTTCTTTATGTATATAATTACATTCTGATGCTACACTTAACTTCACGACTAACGTCAAGACCTTATTTATGATTCCTGCAGAATGTGACTAAGGATCAGAAAATTCTCAAAATTCTGCAAGAGTTCAACGATGAGTAATTGATTTTTACCTGTGTACTTCCGGAGAATTAGGTAAACTTCGTGTTTTCCGGTTACTCCCAGCGGTACTTCCGTTGTTTCCCATTGTTCTAAATTTTTGATATGCTTTCTTTCACAACAATAATAAATAAATGATTATCAAAATGGTAAAGTGCCCTAGTGATCACTTGAATGAGACTTGAACAGCATAGTTGATGAAATAAAAGTTTGTATTGTTATTAAAATGCACTACTCAAAGAGCCAAATGATCGTTGGTTGCAATAGGCTTTGTGAGATTTAATCAAATTCACCATATAAATGGTCACGTTGCATGTCAGTAACAAGTAATTAAAAGTAAAGTAGTCTGACGGTTGAATTAAAAAGAGCCTTTGTGGTAACGGATATATCACAACCTCATGGCACTAACGCACTCGCCATGGCTGAAGGAACCATGGTTTAGACAGGTTTAGGGATCGCTGGCCCGCATCAAACTGAAGAGTGAGGCCGTAGCTCGCGAGTATTCCCCATTACCGTTTCCATAGCACGTGGCGCGTTCTCACTCTCTCCCTCTTGTTACTATTCGTTTTCATCTCGCTTCAACGCTCTTGGTTTGTCGACTTGTTCGACTCGACATTGCCTCCCTACCATGCTTTTACTCCATCTCCCTTGCGCGACGTCTCCACCATACAGCCTCCCTTGTTTCGTCTCCCCCTGCTATCCGAACGCCTGGACTTTCCCGTGAATCCAACCAATCGTTGGCCAGAGAACTCGCAGGATTTTTCAAGCATTTACATGCTAATGCCCGAGCATGCCCGAGAACACATCGTCTACGCTAAACACTTCTCTAGCACAGATAAATTTGGAGATACATCATGAGAAATATGCAGTTAAACGGTGCTAAATATTTCCCATGGGAAATCTTGCTTTTTATCAACTGTCACGACTGTCGATTCTCCATCCTCATTTCACAATAAAAAATCAACAATCATTTTTATTTATTTAAATTTTTCCATCTATTGTTACTTAAAAGATGCCACTATTTGCTTATTTTGTTGAAACAACGATCCCAATCATCATGAATTTCTTAGAATAAAAAAAAAATTACGAGACAGATTAAATAAAAGAACAGACATTCCTTAGTATAAAAAAATTTAGTTCAGTAGAACTCGCGTTTTTTTAAACTTTTTAAATGAATCCCGCAAAAAATATTACCGTTATTTGGCATACAAGTTCTGAAAGAAATTTATTTTACCGACACACGAAATATTGCAGCTGTCGATAACACAGTTAACCTTTTGTCGGTAATGTAGATAGCGCGTTCAATTTGTTTCCAATCATTTAAATAAACTTTTTTAAAAATATGTTAATAATGTTAAATATTCTATTGAAGATATTTTTTTGTAAACAGTAAGAAATTCTAACGGCGGCATTTTTGCAACCCGTTAAGGAGCGAACCGTTATAATGATGTTGTTAAAGCAGAAATGGAGTGATATCTCAATACAATTCTAATAAATCTCTATACTACCCACCTCGGCATATCTTGAAGTTGTTTTGCTCGTTGTTTATGTCTGGAGAGAGCGAAGAGTAATGCAAGAATTGGCCTTAGAGTTGTACCAGTTGATAACTCTCCAGGATTGACAGCTCCAACATCTGCACCAAGTGCTCGCAAAGCACCGACACAAAGACTCACGTTTTCCACCTGTGCAAATAAATTTCAATTATATACCATCATTCTGACCAAACATTAAATAATTATTACTCATATGTATAATTTAAACAAATAATAAAAATGTTCAACGGAAAAGGTTAATTTATAACTCAAATAAAAAAAGCATTTATGGACATTGTAGTACATTGACATACATATATAACAATTATATTTATAAAAAATAGAGGTAATATTTTTTATCATCACCTGTGCTCTTTTTTTCTATCACAAAATATTCACCAGTGTCGAGGGGTACGCTTTTAACAAATTAAATGGCCAGCGACAGTGTCACAAATTGTACGTTTGAGCAGAAAATAAATGACTAAACCCCAAACCACAAAAGAATAAAAAAAAAAACACATGATAAAACGGTAAAACTGAGGAAATTTTTTTTTAAAGTGCTTTCCCACCCATATGACTGTTGCAGGTAATAGATTCATATATATATTATGATGTGGCAATTTTTAATTAAGAGTAACCTGTTACCAAATAAAAATAAGCATATAATAAACGTCATATTATGCATGTAGTAATGTTGCGCGGTATATCAGTAGCAAAATTCATATGCGTTTCTACACAAGACAAAGAGTATATGTTTATACGACTACACGTTCTACGGAAACGTGACTGCCGTGACCATACGACTGTCTCACTATACGGCATGTCCACCTTTTGTTTCCATTGTTCTTAGGCTAGAAGCTTTACCCAGAAAAATGAACCACCAATGTACAACCCTACTGGAGTACCCATGGACGAAGAAATGCGAACGAAAGAGATAAAACCCGTTGACTCACCAACCGACAATGGGTATACCCGAAAGATTCGTAACTATACTACATAGCGAGTGCACTAGTCAAGTTTTCATTTTCGTATGGATACGATGCATTAGTCACAAGAGGATGAATGGAACATGAAAGCATCGCTTTTTACTACCCAACTTTTTTAAAGTATCAAGCGAAAAGTTAGTAAACTACTAGATGCATGCATCACATGTTCTAATGTATGTCTATATATTCGTCCTGCTAGAGATGGAGAAAGAAACTCACCTACTAACTAAATGTATGCAGACTCAAATTATGGAGTAAAAATTGTCTTAGAAGTGTTGGAGAAATGGGAACATGTCATGTTTTAATCAGCAGTGGAATAATGTATTGAGATTTTAAGGAAATGTGGGAAAGAGTTGGAATAAAATGGGCCAAGATAAGCTTTTTTAGAACATTGGAAATTTTTTTTTTGCTCTTTTCACTTTTAGAGTTAATAAAAGTATTGATTTTTTATTACTTTTTTCAGACTATTATTTGATTATCGTTATTCGAAGTCTTTTTTTCGGTTTAAAATAGAAAAAAAAACAAAGAATGACCCAATGGATGATCTCCTTAAAATATTACCTACACTCAAAGGCAGTAAAAGTTAATTACTCATTGTTAAATTGTGACAGATCGTAATTTATATTATTATTAAATAAAAAAAAAAAACTTTTTTTTTACGTATTGGAACACTTATTTGCCAAGACTTTGTTGATAAATTTGTGATTTTAATTTAAAAAAAAAACAATTATAAAATTTTGCAATGATTTTGTAATGAATCATTAGAATGCCTAGAAGCACTATTTCATCCTAATTTCGCCTACGTGACTTTTACGAAGTATTTTATGTTACTCTGCATTGTTATAAATTGAAATTTCAGAAAAATACTATATTTTATAACAACAATAAATGAGGTATTGTATGTAAATATTTATACCATAATGAATAGAACATGTTTTTATTGGTTTTTTATTTATAACTGACAATAGTTCAATGATCTGATATTTCTGTCAATATTTTTCTCTGAATGTCATGTGTCATGGTTGAGCATGGTGTAATGAGTAAATAGAAAGTGTTGGGTATTGATAGTAGAGTTTTTATAGTTCTAATATTATATCAGACAATCTAATATCAACATGTACCTGATAAATTGATTTCAAATAAATAATTTATTGGTCATAAACCAAAAATATTTAATTAACCCAATAAAATATAAATTTGTCCAGAATAATTTTTGGATTAAAAAAATGTTGTATTTTACACTAAATCGAAATTAAATCTTTTTAAGCTTCGTTTAATCATAAATAATTTATTCAATTTTAATAAAAATCTCAATAGAAACATATTTAATTATGTTTAATTGTATGCTAATTAATGAAATTTTTATTTTGTGTTTTCAAATGAAATAATTTACTGCATTATTATTAGACAAAGAATTACAGTTTCTAGAACGCACTTTAATTAACATTTATCATATATTTAAAAATTGATAAACCAATTTTTTTATTGTTCATGGCAAACCGTTGTTCAATATCCACATTTTAACTCGATTTTATCGTTCTTCTGTTACGAAGTGAAGTTGAGAATAAAAACAAAGAATATTTTCATTTTAATTTATATTAAAATTTAGAAACACTCCTAATTGCTGTAAATTCTCTCAAACTTTAATATATTCCAAAACGAACATTTGTGGTTGACACGTATGAAATAAACTTTGTTTAGTTTCAGGTAAAATAAACGAAAAATTGAACCCTTGCCAAAACAAAAGTAAACTATAATTTGTTACATTTTCTCGAATAAATTCTCTTAAAAAATTCATGATAACATCGACTAAATAAATAAAACACTTGTATTTTTTTTTAAACATTTTTTTTAATATTTATTCTTCAAAAAATTTAACACAGGCAATGCCTATAACAGCTCATCAGTAATAAGTCCGAAAAAAATATCTCCACACGTTATTTATTTCAGTGGTGTTCTAATCTACCATGGTATCATTATTACAACGATAATTTATACCATTTTATTCTACCGCGATGAAATACATAAGACACTTTTGCAGATAAATTGATGACTTTGAATGACTGTTATGGTAAAACTACAAGAGCAACTACCAGGAAAGATGGAGTTTTTTCTATGACATTCCGTCTCGCATTACCTCCCTTTATTCTTATTATGCTGTCCTCGTTTTTTCGTTTCGCTCTTCTCACTCACGCGTTTATTTCAAACTCGGAGAAGATAAGAGAGCCCTCTGTATCCCTTGAGACTACTGGCCCATACACTCTGTGAGTAAGAAAACCTATACGGAAACTCGCCAAAGGAACAAGTTAAAGGTATAGAACTGTTTACGTCAAAAGATTTCGCTAAGAAAAAATACTTGGATATCACTTTGATACAAAGTTAAGGTTGAAGAGGGTACAAGTACTCGAAAAATAAACGAATAAGCAGAAAAGAGTAGAGCTAATGAAAGTAAAAGAAACGACGAAAGATGGGTGATAGTCCTAAAGACCATTAAGAGGAATATTTTAAGAGATAACGAAAGAGGATAAAGACTAAATCTAAATAAATGCGTTTTCGGAAATAAATTTTCAAACACCGGAATAAATACCTCAAAGGATAAATGTCTACAGGTAGAAAGATAAATATGATATAAATATGCGTATTATTTGACAGCAAGTATTAATTGTGAATAATTTGAGGAAATGAGTTGAAATAATTTGTTGGATAAAAATGAAATAAACAGCATGACAAAGTATATATTAAAAGCAATTGCTCAGAGTTTCTTGGAGGTATTGCCGGCGCCCCAAAGTGCTCTTGGGACATATCGCGAGATGTCCTCTTATGGTAGTGTCTTCGCTGAACGCTCCAGGCAAGTCCGCAAAAAGAAAAGGACATAATGCTCCTATCAACCGGTACAGACGACACAGTACGTAAGAACTCTGGTACACTTACAGACTAACAATGTCTTCTGGATTATATTTAAGGACGTATACCTCTCCTCTACAGTAATTATCCATAAAAAGTATCAGTCTTTTATACTTTGTTAATATTGCATTATAAATTTTTTTTTAGAATCTCTAAAGGTCTAGTATACTCAACTAAAAAAACCTTTGAATACTTTAGATTCAGTTTCACCAATTTCACAGAAGGATTTTTTTTTGAGCAGAATTTTAATACTAATTATGTCCAAGATAGAAATACTGAAATGATCCCTTTTTTAGGGAAAAATGTAAACGATTTTGATTATATTAATTAAAACGTGAATCGAAGAATTTCAAAATTCTTTTAATGAAGTAATTAATTAATTAATTAAATTTGATTATAAATAAAAGAAAGGATATTTTAACAGATCAAAAAATGTAATTACACTTTTGAAACGAATTCATTACTGATCAGTTAAATTTGTAAGAAAAAAATTACTTCAAATCAGTGATGAGTATTTATCGTTTCATATTTTTTACAGTCATTATAAATAAAACATTTTCTTTACTGCAGTATAATTAAGATTTTTTATTGCAAATAATTATTTCAATTTACTTGAAAAAGTTCAATAATTGTTTATATTATTTTAAATATAATAATTTTTATAAATCATCATAAATATGATGATTATTAATTAATGTTAAAATTGAATTATTTTTATTTATTGCTAGAATTTTATTTTGTTTTGTTGATTATTATTCATTATTTTGTAGTTTAAAGGAAAGAATTCAATAGAGTTTGGTGAATTTTCTAGAATTTCGTTGACACTGTAATTTTGATTCATGTTCATAATCAAGTTAAATAAGCCAGAGGAATTATAGTGCCACAATAGAGTAAATCATTGAAAAGAGTTCTTTCTTCCCAATCTAGTTATTGCATCATGGCATTGCGAATTAAAGAGCACATGGAATACGCATTTAACATGAAAAGAAATATTGCATGAGAGTATATGTATATGAGTATTTACAACTCTCTCTCTTGAACTCGACCAGGTGGAGAGAAATGACATCAACTGTGTGAGAAAGTATTATTGTACATGAGTTGTTTAATCTTTAAGCCCTACTTTGAACTATTTATCATGTATTTATGTAAATATAGACCTGAGGAAAAATAGTCAACTTTTATTCGAGATATCTTTCAAACTAGTTGTCAAATTATACTATTACACATAATATGAGTCAAGACTGAAATAAATGACGTTAA